CTGGATAAAGGCATTTACTTCCACCCACCACAACTTGCGAAATGCTACTCAACATTCCTCGAGAGGCCGGAAACTATCCCAGAATTTCTAACAACAGAAGTTACATACCTGATCCCAAAAACTGAACAATATACTGCTGATCCCGCAAAATACAGGCCAATTACTTGCCTTTCTACAGCGTATTAACTCCTTACTGCTATATTGGCTGACAAAGTGCATAAACATTTGGAACGTAACAACTTATTGGATGAGGAACAGGAGGGATGTCGGAAGGGCTCAAGAGAATGTAAAGAACAACTGATAATCGATGAAATAATACCGGGTAGTGCCAGAAAAAAGAAGTCGCCCTTATTCACTGCATACATCGATTATCAGAAAGCATTTGATAGTATTCCACATTCATGGTTAACGGAAGTGTTACGGCTTTATGGCATAGAAAACCATATCGTGAAACTATTGACCTATGCAATGTCCAAATGGAAAACGCGTCTCTGTCTTAACACCCCAGACTCGCAGATAGATGCTGGCGAAGTCAGTATAAAACGAGGGATCTTTCAGGGTGACTCTCTAAGCCCGCTATGGTTTTGCCTAGCTTTACGCCCTCTAACATCGCTGTTAAACAGTCAAGAAAAAGGCGTAAAGATTGCCGAGGATGGTACAGAACTATCTCATCTTTGGTATAGGGATGATCTGAAATTATTTGCAGAGAAGAAGGATCACCTACATGCGCTGTTGGATTGTGTGAGCAGATTTAGCAAAGATGTGCAAATGACGTTTGGTTTAGATAAATGCCGCATAAGTTGCATGACTAAAGGTAAGTGGACAGAGCATGAAGGGTATAAAGTAAAAGGGTCGCAAGGGGAGATCATCAATATGCAAAGGGATGAACGCTACAAATACTTAGGCTACCTCCAGGCACCAGACATAGACCAAAAACTGTCGAAGCAAAGATCTACCGACGAATACTTGAGAAGATTAAGGATCATTCTTAAATCTGAATTGTCTGCTATAAATATACCTTCGGTATACTCAAATGGACTGATACTGAGCTGAAAGCCCTAGATATAAGTACCAGGAAGGAATTCCGTCGGTATAGGGCGCATCATCCTGAAAGTGCAATAGAGCGCTTCCACTTAGCACGGCGCGAAGGAGGAAGAGGAATCCCCAGTATGTTGTCCAGACATTACCAGCAAATTGATAATCTAAGGACATACTTCTTGGAAAAGGCGAGAAGTAGCAGAATGCATCAGGCACTAGCCAACAGAGATAAGGGCATTACCCCACTGAACCTAGCCAACCTAGCTCTCAATCCATCCGCGATGGTGTCATCGCCCTCCGAACTGATCGAGAAGTGGAAATCCAAGCCACTACATGGACGCTATAGAACGCGAATTGAAGACCAGGCAGTAGACACTAAAGCATCCCAAGAGTGGGTGCGTTCCAGTAATCTGTTCGTGGAGACAGAAGGGTTTGTGATGGCTATTCAAGACCAAGTGCTGCCTACGAAGTTCTACAGAAAGCGAATAATGGGAGAAAATATAGACAATGCCAAATGTAGAATCTGTGGAGATAAAGACGAGAACCTAGACCACATTATCGCAAGCTGTTCCACACTCGCCCCAAAACAGTATCTAGAAAGACATAACGACGTGGCAAAAATAATCTACTTGGAACTGGTCAAGCGCTATCTCAATGAACTACTGAGCCATACTATCGCTACACGCCCCTCTCAGTTAAAGAGACTGGGTCACACAAAATGTATTGGAACAGGAAAATAATCACAGACCGCACAATACCAAATAACATCCCTGACATAGTGCTAACGTTAAAAGAGCAAAGATAACATACATTATAGATATCGCGGTTCCGCTCCCTGTCAACCTTCAAAGCACCTACTCAGAAAAAATCAACAAGTATCTACCACTGTCAGAAGAAATAAAGCGGATGTGGGGAATGAATACAGTTATGATTGTACCGATAGTTATTGGCGCCACAGGTGAGGTCCTTAAGAAGTTACACACAAGTCTTGAAAAGCTAGACCTTGACCAGCATGTCTACAAAAAAATTCAGAAAGCCGCTTTACTGGGGACATGCAGAACAGTCCGTAGGGTCCTGGCAGGCGAAAACTCGACATTGTAACCTGCAAAATTGGTAGTTGCCTTCAAAATGCTTACATCCTCTGGTGCAAACATGGATTGAGCATATCAAACCCTCTCAGAGGAGATGCTTGAATGAATAATAATAATAATAATTACAATGACAATAATAATAATTATAATAATAATAATTGTAATAATAATATTAATAATAATAATTATAATAATAATAATTACAATAATTATAATTATAATAATAATAATAACAATAATAATAATAATAATAATAATAATAATAATTATAATAATAATAATTACAATAATTATAATAATAATAATAATAATAATAATAATTATAGTAATAATAATAATAATAATAATTACAATAATAATAATCATAATAATAATAATAATAATAAGCATTGCCCCCACAGTCTCCAATTTCATCCGGACATCAATGGAAAACTGGAAGACAGAGATGCTTCTGTTCCATTCCAAAGGGTGTATAAAAACAAAAGGTATTGATATCAAGCGTGGAATCTTCCAAGGAGACTCGCTTTCTCCTTTACTCTTTTGTATTGCCTTAATACCGCTGAGTAATATGCTGAACGAAGAAGGACTAGGCTTCAGTGTTGGCCTTAACAAGAAAATAAGTCATCTGTTTTATATGGATGACTTGAAGCTCTTTGCCAAAGACGATAAACAGCTGGAGAAAGAACTCTCAATAGTAAAAATATTTAGTGACGATATCGGTATGGAATTTGGACTTGACAAGTGTGCCAAGATTACTATGAGAAGAGGAAAAGTTGAGAGAAGTGAAACATCAAATTGAACGACGCCACGGAAATAAAAAACCTAGACAACGGTGAAACCTACAAGTATTTGGGAGTGGAGGAATGCGGGAGCATTGAGCACCAAGAGATGAAGAATCGACTGACAAGAGAGTACTATCGGCGTATAAGGCTTGTCCTCAAAACGGAGCTAAGTTCAAAAAACAAGATAATGGCTATTAATTCAATCGCTGTCCCTGTGCTGACGTATAGTTTCGGTATTTTGGATTGGTTGAGAACCGATATACACAAGCTAGATAGGAAAACAAGAAAACTACTAACTTGTGAAGGTATGCATCATCCCAAAGCCGACGTTCAGCGTCTATACATCGCACGGCGTGATGGCGGACGAGGTTTAATAGAGTTAGAATATGCATATGATCTAGCCATTCTCGACCTGCATGAATACCTGAGCTCGGAGAAAGACAAATATACGAAATGTTAAAAATCCACGATGCCCAGAAACGTAAATACTCTCTTGAGAGAGAAGCAGCGAGTATAAAATCAAACTACCAAAGTGACAACTCTAGGACGTCGAACACAAAGGTCCAAATCAAGGTCAGCATTGCTAAGCGCAGAATGGAAATGTTGAAAATAAACCATTACACGGCCAGTTCTACAGAAACCTTAGTAGACCAGGCGTAGACAAAGACGCTAGCGTTGCATGGCTCCGTAGTTCTGGTCTGAAGGGCGGAACAGAAAGCCTCTTGATTGCTGCTCAGGACCAAGCCCTCAACACACGCTATCACCAAAAGCGCATACTTGGTTGCGAAGTGGACAGTAAGTGCAGGATGTGCAATCAAGCAGAGGAGCACATAAGCCACATCGTGGCTGGATGTACCACACTCGCACCTACTGAATACACAAAAAGGCACAACAACGTAGCAAGGTATCTACACTGGCTAATGAGCAAAGGGGCTGGTATAGAGGTCTGCGATAAATATTATGAGCACACTCCAGAAAATAATAAAGTTGTAAACATGAGGATGTTCGAATCATGTGGGATGTTCCCATCATCACTGATAGAACCATACCTGCGAACCGCCCGGACATAGTGTATCTTGATAAAAGAACAAAAACCTGCTTACTAGTAGATGTAGCGGTTCCTAACGATTCGAACGTAATGCTGAAGGAAGCAGAAAAATTAAGCAAGTATAAAGACCTGGAAATAGAGGTAAGCAGAATGTGGAACGTTAAGACCCGAACAGTTCCAGTCATTGTAGGAGCCCTAGGGACCCTTAGAAAGGGGTTACAGACCAACCTCTCACAACTACCAGGAAAACCATCTGTTGCTGAAGTGCAGAAAATAGCACTACTGGGCACTGCTCACATTATCCGCAAGGTATTAGGGTGAATCGCTTTGATCTCGGGTAGAGATCTGGATTCCCTTAGACTGTCACAATAGGACAAGAGGAAAACACTAAAATAATAATAATAATAATAATAATAATAATAATCATAATAATAAGTATAATTATAATAATTTAATAATAATGATATTATAATAACAATAATAATAATAATTACAATAACAATAATTATAATAATAATAATAATCATTATAATAATAATAATTACAATTATAATAACAATAATAACAATAATAACAATAATTATAATAGTTATAATAATAATCATAATAATAATAATATTAATAATAACAATAATTGTTGGAACGCGTACTAGCGTCACCCCGCCGCGCCGCTACTGGCGAGACGACCAGACAGGTTGCCTAACCTAGAAGCTTGTAACCGCCGTCCTGTCCCCGCGCGCCGCACCTCGGAATGCAGTCAGTCGTGAAGAGTCAGTGGTGGGGAGCAGTCGAAGTACAACAGCAGCCAGCACACGCGCGCGGATCGCGGAACGCGGAAGCCCGGTCTACACCTGTAGCTTATCTACCCATTCATGTACAAGTACTGAATAAACTGTTCTGAACCGAAGACCACTGCGAGTTGAATTGCTCTGCTTATCTATGCTCAACAGGTTATGGGCCCAGAGACAGTGCTACGGACATTGAACAATTATTGCAAGTGCTGAAGATAATATAGGAAGTGTGTGACTAGTGTTATCAAACATGAGTGTGGCAAAAGTATCCTGTATAGACTCGCTTAGCAGGGATAACTACGACACGTGGAAAATACAGATGAGGGCATTGCTGGTAAGAAACGATCACTGGAGTTATGTATCTGGCGAGATAAAGCAGCCACGGATAGATGATGGGGACGAAGCATCACGAGAGCTGTAGAAGCCTGGACTAAAGGTGACAGCAAGGCGATGTCGGACATAATTTTGTCAATAAGCCCCTCAGAAATCAAACAGGTAAAGAACTGTAATACATCCAAGGAACTGTGGCAAAAGTTGGAGGGTATTTACCAACCAAACACTGCAACGTATGGAAGAGGGACAGGACTACGATGTCATTTAAACTCATTTTTCGATGCAGTTGACAAGTTAAATGACATGGATGTAGAAATCAATGCAGATCTATTAGCGATAATGCTATTGTATAGCCTGCCAGCCAGTTTTGAAAACTTCAGGTGTGCAATTGAGTCTAGAGACGAATTACCATCCCCGGAAATTCTTCGAATAAAAATTATAGAAGAGTATACTGCGCGGAAAGGCGACGTTCGAGAAACGGAAGGCGCCATGTTCGTGAAGCGGAATTATGGGAAAAATCACGGTCACGCAGGAAATGGCGGACGGGGCAGTGGCGTCTCGGAAGGTACACGAGGCAGCGGCGTCTCGGAAGGTGCACGAGGGCAGCGGCGTCTCGGAAGGCAGAAGAACGTTCAGGTATAAGTGTCACAGATGCCGAAAAGTAGGCCACAAGGCCGCTGAATGTCCAGACAAAGGTAAGACTGTTGCCAATTCTTACAAAAGTGAAGCGAACTGTTCCGAACACGTGGGACTCGTTACCGCGGAATGTTATCATGTTGAACAGAATCACAAAAGACTGAAATGGTGTCTAGACAGTGGCGGCAACGTCTCACTTATGTAAAGACATAGTTGTTTTTCTGACCTTGAACGTAGACATGATCATTTGAATTTAGCAAATAGTGAATTTACGGACATTACAGGTTCCGGACAGCCACGTTTGTTGCTGACGTTTTTGGCGAAACGAAAAACATCTCACTCCATAAAGCTTTTCATGTTCCCGACCTAAGAGTAAACTTACTTTCTGTTGCAAAGATTACCGATAAAGGATTTGAAGTTTTATTCATGAAAGAAAATGCTTTGATCTATGATAGTAATGGTGATATAAAAGTTGTAGCCGATCGTAGTGGCGATTTATACTACGCGAGAGAAGGCGAAGCACAGAATAAATCAGCTTTCATTTCGACCATGAATTCTAAAAATGTCAAACTATCGTAGATCGTAGATTAGGACATTTGAACTTTCAGGATTTGAATTCTTCATTGAAGAAAGGAAGATTAGGTGGAGTAAATATTGAAAATATGCCTAATAATGGGGAACTTTATTGCGAAATTTGCATACGCGGAAAAATGACGCGTTCACCATTCCCGAAGAAGTCCGACAGGGAATCGGAAATGCTAGAAATCGTACATACTGATGTTTGCGGTCCCATGCGAGTAGATCTCACTCGAGTACAAATATTTTGTCGAATTCATAGATGATATTCTAGGTATTGCACGGTATTCTTCATGAAACATAAAAATGAAGTTGTGCGAAAGACTCAGGAATATATTACACTGGTCGAAAACCAAAAGAACAAAAGATAAAGTGCATCCAATCTGACAACGGGACGGAGTACAATGTAAGGAAACGGAGGATCTCCTGAAAAAGCACGGAATTTCACGTCGCTTGACTTGCCCATACACTCCGGAACAGAACGGTATAGCGGAGAGGAAAAACCGCACTCTCTTGGATACAGCACGATGTCTAATCATGCAGTCCGGCTTACCTCCGATCTTTTGGGCTGAAGCCATCAACACGGCCAACTATTTGCGGAACAGATGTCCATCCAAAAGTCTGAACGGGTTAACACCATACGAAAAGTGGACTGGAAAGACTCCCGACGTTTCGAATCTCAGAGATTTTTGGTTGCAAGGTCTTCTGTCTAAACCAAGATCAGGCCAAGGGGAAGCTAGACGCAAGATGTAAGGAAGGAATTTTCATAGGGTATTCGGAACAAACGAAAGGATACAAGGTCTGGTTTCCGAAGGAGAATAAATTCGTAGTCACGAGGGATGTTAAGTTCTTGGAAAACGCAGAAGTCACAAGCCAAGAATGGACAGATTTTATTCTGGAAGGATCATCCAAGGAGAATGAATCTGAGACGCATACTATCGAAGTACAGCTATCCCCAGTTGTCGAGAACGAAAATCCAGAACATGAATCTCCTACAACGGAACAAGTAGAGCCCGAGGTTGATAACGATTCTGAGCCACCTAGGCGTGCCCGCGGGAGACCCAGAATTCGGCGAACTGGTTCGAGGGGAAGACCTAGAAAGATATACAGGTACAGGACACCCCCGAGAGGTTCAGCACTCTCTTCTGAAGAGGTATTACTGTCCGAGGTCCCGATGCATCAGGCAGTCAGAGGCGAGGACGCTGACGAATGGCACAAGGCGATGGAAGACGAAGTGGCATCTATCTTGAAGAATGGTACTTGGGAATTAATCGACCGACCATGTAACCAGCACATCGTTGGAAGCCGTATTGTCCTGAGAAACAAGTACAAGCCTGATGGAACTAATATTATTATCATATAATTATATTATTATATTATTATAATTATAATAATAATAATAAATAATAATAATATATTATTATTTTATTTAATTATTATTATTATTATTATAATTATTATTATTATAATTATTATTATTATAATTATTATTATCATTAACCCTCACAAAATCCAACCCGTACGTCCTCGAATTCGTTCTGCGGGGCGGCCTTGGGCGCTGAACCGTGTGCGACCGTGTAGGGGGGGCACGGGGTGCCGGTCTTGCGGTGGACCGCCTCGATTAGTTTTGAGGAGCACCCGCCGGAAGCCGGTAGCCCGGCCAACAAATGATTCGTTGAGCCACAGGTGTCTCGGATGATATCTGGGACGCCTGCAGCTCAACGGTCATCATGGGCATGGTACGTTAACCCAACCCAAGGTGTTAAGCGATTCCGTGCCGAGGGTGCGTGGCGGTGGGGATGCACCGTCTTAAACGGAGCCTCTGGGACACCGGGCGACCTCCCAGAGTATCCAGCCTTGCGTCCGTGTAGGGGCACCGCGGACGTCGATCACCACTTCCCCTATACTCGTGGGAACATTATGGAACCGAACGATAACGAAAATAATAAAAAAACCCGAGCCCCCTCCCTACAGGGTACCCCGAACATCCAGGCGGCCCCTCACCAGGGGACCCTGATCGTACTCTGACAGAGGAATCTGTCAGAAGCTTAGCGAGAGAGCTAGCGGAAAGGGTGGGCTCTCTAAAGATTAAGAAGAAGTCTCGGCCAGGTTCCGGAAGGAAAAGGGCTCGGAAGCGGAGAGAGGCGCAGATGACGGAGGGCTCGGAAGGTCGGGGCACCACTTCTGGGACCCCGGCTGGACGGACCCAACCGCCATCTGGGCTAGACGGTGCGCAATCCGGTGTGTTAGCGGAGGCCCTAAAGCGGCCCGGTGACGGGAAGCGGCAGAGGTCTGCCGGTGGGACACCGGAGGGCGCATCCTCGCGGAAGAAGCCTCGCACTGCGACGCATGCACAAATTAGTTATGCGCGAGCGTCCCAAGCGGGTCTCAGGGTGGCCGTCGTGTCCGACGGTTATCCTGGGACTCAACTTACTAACGTACAGGTGCAGCAGGTCCAGGAGGCGGTTAGTGTGCTGATAGATGGGATCCCAGATGAGGTGGCCCTTCCCAGGTACATTGACTGCTACCTCTCTCGAGGGGCAGCCATCTTTGTCTGCGAGGACGAATCCTCTAGGGCATGGTTGGAGGCCCACGTGGGGGATCTGCGGCCGTGGGAAGGCGCAAGGCTCATTACGATGAGCTTTGGAGACCTTCCCATATACCACCGCGTGATGGCCTGGTTTCCGGGTCCCAACCTGGACAACGAGGTCATCACGAGGAGACTCAGGAGGCACAATCCTGGGACTTTTCCCAGCGCGTGGAGGCTACTTGAGAGGAAGGAAGAGCCGATAGGTGTCCGACTTGTCCTCTCAGTTGATTCCATAAGCTGGAAGGTCATTGTAGGTAACGGCAACAGGCTGTGTTGCGGTGGAAGTTCGGGGGTGTTTACACTCCTGAGCAAGAAGAAGAGCAGTGGAGCGACACCTGCTGGAACTGGCCTGGCTCCAAACCAGGAGTCGGACCAGCCCAGACCGACGGGAGCTGTGGCGGTAGACCAGGCTCCTTCACAGGGGATGGGTCGGCCGGGTCAGCTCTCGCTGGAACTACCGGAGGCTACGGACGTGGAGGCGGCGGGTCCAAGCGGGATATCCGCAGAAAACATCGTGGCGGACCCTGCGATGGATCTGGTCCCAGAGGGAAACGATAGCGACTCGGACGAGGATGGAATCCTGAACCGAGTCCGAGAACTCCTCCGTGGAAGCGGAGATGAAGGCGGCTGTGGCAGTGAAGACTGCGGCGGCGACGGCGGTACGCCCGAATAGGGGTTACATACCGTCATTCGGGAAGGTGTAGGAAGGGCCTCTCAACATCCATGGTAAGTTTTAATTTCATCCAAATTAACTTACAACACTGCATAGCGGCTTCGAGGGCCCTTACTCAGGAGATCACTCGAGGCCGACATGACGTGGCTCTCATCCAGGAACCCTGGCTGAGAAACGGTTCAGTAAACGGGCTTAGTATACCGGGCTATACGCTTTTTAGCGATACTCCGGACACTAAGCCCAGAGCTTGCGTAATGACTTCCGTCAACTCATGGCAACTTAAAGAATTTACATTCAGAGACTTAGTTGCAGTCACAATTAGATATAAGAAGGAAGGCAGTGACAGGGACTTGGTTGTATGTTCGGCTTACCTTCCTTACGATTCAAGAGACCCTCCTCCGTCTAAGGAAATGGGGGACCTTGTCGCATTCTGTAGGGATTCTGGACTCGACCTTGTGATTGGATGCGACAGTAATGCCCATCACGTTACGTGGGGCAGCTCGAACACCAACAGACGGGGCGAAGACCTGATGGAGTTTCTTGGGGCATCGAACCTTGAGGTTCTGAATGTCGGTAACATGCCCACTTTCAGCAATAGTGTAAGAGAAGGTTATCGACGTAACACTGAGCACGCTTAACTTAGCTCAGGACATCAGGGACTGGAAAGTGTCTCTAACACCCTCTCTATCGGATCACAGGTATATACTGTTCAAGACTGATGGAGAGATTCCGGATAAATATGCTCGGAATCCCAGGCATACTAGATGGGGGTCCTTTAGGGCAGACATTGACAGTAAGCTTGGAGCGGTCCCATACAGGCTTGGCAGGGGCTCTGACATAGAAGCAGCTGTCGAGTCTCTGAGCAGGGACTTGACGGCTGCATATGAGGAAAACTGCCCGTTACGCAAAGTACAAGGTAAGGGCAAGGCAACCTTCTGGACCAAAGATTTAGAGGATAGAAAACGAGCGGTGCACAAACTTCTTAGCAGAGTTAAGCACAGGAGAGGTTCTCCTCTATGGGAAGAATACAAAAAGGCATTGCAGGAGTACAAAAAGGAGATTAGAAGGGCCTCCAGAGAATCCTGGAGGCACTTCTGTCAGTCCATAAATGACATTCCTGCTACTGCAAGAATACACAGAGTCCTATGCAAAGACATTAAAGCAAGATTGGGATCTCTGCATGATCCCTCGGGGGGGAACACTACTTCCGAGGAAGATACTCTGAGGCTTCTGATGGATACGCACTTTCCCGGTTCCACAAGGGAGGACTGGCGCACGGCAAGGGAGATTGTCACCTTCGAAAGGACGGTATGGGCAGTAGATTCGTTTGCCCCATACAAAAGTCCAGGTCTGGACGGCGTATTTCCGGCCATGTTACAGCAGGGACGGATTTCGGTTGTTCCTTACCTGTTGAAGGTGTTTCGAGCATGTGTGGCCACGGGCTTCACACCTAGAAGCTGGCGGCAGGCTAAAGTGGTATTCATTCCTAAACCGGGCAGAGATAGATATACTGGCCCGAAGGATTTTCGACCGATTACTCTTTCATCTTTTGTGCTTAAGACCCTGGAAAGGATAGTTGATAGATACCTAAGGGATGGCCCACTGGAAAGGTGTGTCATTCATGCAAATCAGTTTGCATACCAAGCTGGAAAATCGACTGATCTGGCCTTACATAGTCTGGTCGGGAGGCTAGAGAAGACTCTAGATCAGCGAGAAGTGGCACTCGTGGCCTTCTTGGATATTGAAGGTGCATTTAATTGCACCACAACCGACTCTATCAGACAGGCCTTGGTTAGACACGGGGTTGGATCAATCCTAATAGATTGGGTCCTCTCTACTCTGGAGGGTCGGGTAACAACAGTTATGCTGAATAACGTAAGCTGCAGCGTGAACGTAGCTAGAGGCTGCCCTCAGGGCGGAGTTCTGTCACCCCTACTGTGGTGTATCGTGGTGAACGAACTGCTCGTTAGGCTCAGCAGTATGGGTGTCTACGCGCAAGCCTATGCTGATGACGTAAGCATAGTGGTTAGGGGGCGTTTCTGTAGAACAGTCTCGGAAATTATGCAGGGCGCTCTGCGCTCCGTGGAATCGTGGTGTAGGGAAGTCGATCTTTCTGTTAATGCTGAAAAGACCGAGCTGATCCTATTCACTAGGAGAAGAAGGCTTGACGGACTGGTCATGCCGACCTTCTTTGGGACTAGATTAGTTTTGTCCCAGTCAGTGAAATTCTGGGAATTATCCTGGACTGCAAACTGAACTGGAGAGAGCATGTGGAACACCAGGTTAGCAAGGCTCGCAATTCGATGTGGGCTTGTAGACGTGTTGTCGGTGTAAGGTGGGGGCTTAAACCCAAAGTGGTATACTGGCTCTACACGACGATAGTACGTCCATCTCTCTTGTACGGCTCCCTGGTCTGGTGGCCTTGCATTAGAACTGAGTCAACTAAGGCCAAACTCAATAAAATTCAGCTGTTTGGCCTGTATTAGCATTACAAGCACAGTGCGAACAACGCCACTGAGTGCAATGGAAGCTCTGTTGGATCTCCCACCGTTGGATCTGGTGATCCGCGGTGAAGCGAGAGCAGTCGCTCATCGACTGTGGAGTCAGGGCAGCTGGGCTTTCTTGAATCCGGTCAAGGGGCATACTGCCATATTAGTCGAATTAGAAAGGGAGGACCCCGTCCTTCTAAGCAGGGGTGATCGTATTACCCCTAAATATCGCTTCAACCACAAGTTTATTGTGGAGTACCCAACGAGGGAGGAGTGGGACGCCGGTAGCCGAGGACTCTCCGAAGTGAGCGGGCAGGTCTGGTACACGGACGGCTCGTCACCGAAGAGGGCTCAGGTGCTGGGGTCTCTGGACCTAGAACTAGGCTATCTCTGCCTTTCGGTGAGTACACCACCATTTTCCAGGCGGAAATCTTTGCGATTCTGGCTTGTGTATCTCACATTCTGGAGGAGGGTGGGCCTAGGAGAAGAATAACAATCTTATCCGACAGCCAGGCTGCAATGAAAGCACTAAGTGCATGTAAGATTACTTCGAGTCTTATATTGCAATGCAGGGAGGCTCTGGATTGCCTCGCAGCGAGGCATCCGGTATCGTTAATATGGGTACCGGGGCACGCTGGGATAAGGGGCAATGAGACGGCGGACACTCTGGCGAAAACAGGATCAGCCAGCAAGCTCGTTGGTCCTGAGCCAGCTCTAGGAGTAACCGCGCATAAAGCTAGGAGGAAAATGGAGACGTGGGTTGCAAGACAACACTCTCAGAAATGGAGAAGTATCTCTAGACATCTCCGCCAGGCACGAGAGCTCATTGAAGGGCCCAGTGCTAAGGATGGACGCTTCTGCCTATCTCTGGGTAGAGCCAACCTAAGGTTGCTGGTGGGACTGTTGTCTAGCCATAACACGTTAAGGCGGCACCTGCACGTGATGGGGGTGGCTGAGGATCCCTTGTGCGAACGCTGCGGAGTAGAGGAAGAGACCTCGGCGCACGTTTTGTGTCGCCTTGAAGCTCTGAGCTACTATAGGCAGACTATACTGGGGTCCATTACGTTGGACCCTCAGGACGTAAAGGAGCTTGGGACTCAAGGCGATTCTCAACTTCGCTAAAAGGGCGAGGCTTGTGATTTAAGTATTGTAGAGGTGCATAAGGGCCCGCTTAAGCGGCCTATGCACTGGCTCCTTATGGTGGCCGGGATGCCTCTAAAATTCAAGATTCATTCATTCATTATCATTAATATTATAATTATAATTGTTATTATTATTATTATTATAATTATTATTATTACCGTTATAATTATTATTATAATATTCTTATTATTTTATAATTCTTATTATTATATTATTATTCTTATTATTATTTATTATTATATATTTTATTATTATTATTATCATTATATTATTCTTGTTATTATTTTATAATTATTATTATTATTATTATATATTACTATTATTATTATATATTATTATTATTATTATTATTATTATTATATTATTTTTATTATTATTATTATTATTATTATTATATTATATTATTATATATATTATTATTATTATTATTATATTATATTATATTATTATTATAATTATTATTATTATTATATTATTTTTTATTATTATTATTATATTTATTATTATTATATTATTATTTTATTATTATTATATTATATTATTATTATATTATTATTTTATTTTATTATTATTATTATTATTATTATTATTTTTTTTTTTTTTTTTTTTTAAACCCACAGTGGCATCGACAGCTATGGTCATTAGCCACTTCCCTCCTGCCTCATGAGGTCATTAAGTTGAACCTAGCATCTCAGGGATAGATCTGAGAGTTGGATAATATATAGAACGCACACAATCACATACAGTATAAATAATTCATTGCATCATCCCATTTACTTAATTCAAGTATGGAGGTAAAACTGAGTGTTTACCATAGGTAAATTACT